TGGAAAAAATGTTTCTATTTATAGATCTCTAGAGGAGTCAAATTCATAACACTCAGTGATGTAGGAAATAATGATGACTTGATTGTCATCATCTGGTCATATCAATATACCTACATGCAAACGAATACAAGATGTCGCTAGATCCAGTATCTGAAACACCCGTAATTACGAGGCCAAAGATCAAGCTCTCTAAATCTCTCACCGACAACCTCAGCAACTGTCGAGTAAAAAATGGTGCCCTGAATTTTCTCGGAAGAGGCATTCACTGCACGTGAATGCTTCGAAAAACCAGGTGATATTGAGAGCTCTATACTCACACCTTTTGTGATACAAAGCAACATATAAGAATAACGGCAGAAAAATGTACACCTACATAAAAATCAATAAAAGAGGAGACATCCTCATCAAGAAAGAACTCAATATACTTTTTTTCTAGATGTAAACAGGAGTAGTCTACTTTTTTTAAATATTGTTCTCTTGGCATCAAGTGCTAATTCATGTATTTCAAAACAAATAAATTTTTTGGAACCAAGGCATCATGTTTTGGTTGGTTTTGTTGCAGTTGAAAGCCTACATTCCTAACCTGAAGCTTGAACTATAGAGTCATTTTGAACATGTTGATTTTACTCTGGCATGATATTTTTGATTTCTGCGAGTAATGCCTGGATATGGTGAACATGTAACCTTTTTTCTGAATACTTCATTAAACCAGAATTTCTTCCCCAAGTGTTACTTTCTGAATATTGATCTCAACTGTACTAATTGAGGTTTTTGCTATTGATTCTAGTGGACTTCAAAGACTCCAGGAAATCGGTTGGAATTTTTTTTTTGACAGTGAGTTAAAATCATCACATAAATGAGCAAAAAACTGATGAGAAATCAATTTTTACTGAGAAACCTCTAGGCATAAAAATGATTTGAGTACAAACTACTGCCGCTTAAAAAGATGTCAAAATGGACCAAATTTTTGGGCTGTGAAATTTTACAATAAATTACCACAAAAAATAAGATTTCTACCTATTAACATATTCANGTTCTTTGAATTGTAAGCATATATTGTTTTTGTAAATATTAATAAACGACGTATGTTAATTTTATTGATATGTATGTATTGACTTGTGTAAATACTGATGAATGTATAAAACACCGACGAAATATATCGTAAACTGCGACACCAGCAGCCGGCTCTGGTCAATAGAAGAGGTCCAATGCTGCTCCCAAATCACCGTACAAAAATTCAACGAATTAACCGTTGAAGTTCTGCACCACTTACTATATTTCCCAGAGCTTTCGTCAACCGACTACCATCTTTTCTAGCACTTCGATAACTGTCCACCGGTAGAACCTTCTCCAATCAGTACCAGGCAAAAATGACCTTCGTCGACTTCATCGAATCTCAAGCAGCCAATTTTTCGTGCTGGCGGAATTAATCGACTTGTATTACATTAGTCAAAGTGCTCTGATTCAAATGGTGCTTATTTCGATTGATTTGAATGAGTATTCGCTGAAATTATACAGTTCAAAGTAGACTCATAAAAAATGGACAAAACTGTTTGAAACAACCTTCTATATCAATACAGGCTTATAATGAAGTAAATTATAGATCATACATGACTTATGTTCGTATTCACAGTTCAGTTATCACGAATTTCCTATCACCGTATGCGGAAGTAATCCCATATATGATATATCCCAGATATGAAATAATTATTCACACCCAGGAAGCTTCTATTATCATCGGTTGATACACAAAAAGAAAACTATTTCTACATTCCTTCGTAGATTTGCTCATCATAAACGAATGACACAGAACATATTTTATTTATGTTCAAAGATCCATGCTTCCGGGATCATCCCCAAATCTAAAAATAGTTCCAGAATAATTATTATTGTGCGTGTGTTCTGAATTAACGAAATATTCAGCTATTTGTCGCAACAAACAGCACATTCTTTGCAAATTCTAGATCGTGTGCAATGACTCCAATAATGAAAAGTATGAATAGTATTTTCAGTCAGTGTGAATGAACTATAGCACTTAGGTCGAGAAATAGTTTTGATTTTCTGAAGGATGTATGTTATTTACTACGAAAATGCTATGGTGATAGCAAAACATGTGATATTTATGAAAGTTAAGTTTGTGAAGATCAAATCGTTTCCGGTTTAGTTTGTGAGATTAGTTTTGATTTTTTTTTAAATTGATTACTTCCTTCCTATTTTTTTGAAGGTTTCTATATTTTTTTGGATCAAGATGGAGTAGTAGAAAGCAAAAAACTTTCTTTCCCAAAACATAATAATAGAGGTACCTGAATTTTGTTCACTAGTGACAACGTGGATATGCTAATTTGAAAACCGGTGAGTAAACTAAATCGATTTGATCATTTAACAGGTTGCTCCCGCATTTTTTTTGTTACAGGGATTCCAAATAATTGAGTTTGCAACCCTTTCTTGCATAGTGCAAAATTTCCGTATCGTTTAGATTCTCGTACTTGTGGTTGCATGCCAAGAAATGGTTTGAAAACCTCGAATCATTTTTACCTAGTCTAAAGGACCTTTCATGTTCAGCATACCGTTTTTGGAAATTTCGACCACATTATCCCACATAAACTCTATTACACTTCGGACACTCAAGCTTATAAATTCCAGATTTCTCCAACACGTCTACTTTATCTTTGGCATTGAAAAGGAAATACGTTAGAGTAACCAATTTCTTTATTTCTGATTGTTTGATATGGGGGTACATTAATCTGCAAGTGAATTTACGGCTTTGTTTCCTGACTAACTTCTGGATTGTATCTGCGTTCAAACCATTATTATGGCCCATTTTCATTTGTGTAATTTATATCAATTTCCCTTGCTAGATTTTCAGCAGACAGAGACAGTGAGTATGCTCTCTGCAACATTGAATTGTAAGCTGCTATTTAATGACTGTCTGGATGAAAAGAATCACTAGGAATGGTAATGCTAGGTTTCCTGAAAACGTAAAACTCAAATTTATTCTAATTGTGTGTAATGGTCAGGGTCAAGAAATTTCTTAGGTCTATACACCTCAAACTTCACTGTTTAAGAACTCTTTCACTTGGAAAACTGTGTTTATGTGAAATAAACTCCCTGAGAACGTTTTTCCAAATAGATTCAATCCTCAGCGATTCAAATCCAATGTGAATCACTACTTTCGCAAAGGCACCGCTCTAAGAGCGCCTTGAGAATTTTCCTGTAGTGCTTGTGTTTTATCCTTCAAAAAAATGGTGGAACATAATAATATTTTTACAATATAAACATAACTTCATTAATATGTAAATTGTCTACAGTGAGCACCATATGTAACGGATAAATTCATTTTCTACGTTATTAGCCATTTTCAAAAAAACCTTGAAACACGGTGAATTATGTATTCGGAAAGACACTCTGCGACATAAAAAAATCCCCCCTCCTTCACCCCCTCAACGTGACAGCCACCCCCCAATTTTTTTAAATGCAAAAGGGGGTCAAGTGATACCTCATTTTGAAGTGTATTCAATTTTCTGTACAGTCATATCTTTATTTTTCAATTTCGTGCATGCGTCAAAAAAACAATTGAATGAATTGTGTTATTTAAATCATGTATTAAAGCGGTAGCAATCAATGTGCAACTAATGGAAGTCTTCAGATCAAATTTTCAAACTGACAGCCATTTGTTTCTTGACAATAATAAAAGCGTTGCTGAAAGTTATCAACAACATCTTGAATGGTTTCGGGACTGATACGTTCTATTTCTTCTCTAATTCTGATTTGCATACTTTCAATATTGTTTGGTCTATTGACGTATACTTTGGATTTTAGGTAACCCCACAAAAAGTCATGTCGAGAGAACGGACTGGCCACTCTAAGGCACCTCGTCTACTAATCCATCTTTTGGAAAAAACTTCATTCAGATATACACGAACGTCAGCTGCAAAATATGGTGGAGCACCATCTTGCCAATAGCAGATACTCCCATCTATTTGATTCGGATTATCATTATCTTGAAAAAGTCTTTTCAGCGTTGGAACTGAAAAATTAGTCAAAAACTCCAAGTAACGTTCACCGGTTAATGTTTCGTTGAAAAAATATGGTCCAATTATGCGATTATTTATAATCCCTNTGTGGATGGTTGTTATCGTCACCTCCGTCCATTACCATGGCCACCACCGAACCCCTGTTATTCAATTGTGAATTTTTGAGAGTAATGTTTCAGTGCGTGTATTATAGACATGAGAAACAAATGCATATATAGGAGAAATTAATCACTTTCACTCACGCGAAGCACAAGAAACCACAACACCATATATAAAAACAACTGACAGAACCTTGTTTCACCATCTGGCTTGGTTTGAATATGTCCGGTAGATGTCGTATCTGGACGATTAACTTCCCAATTAAAAACACAAATACCTTCAGTAGTTATCAAATTCTAGTTTAATATAGTTGTCAAATATTAGTAATAGGAATAGGTAACAAAAATCTATACAAAGTCAAGAGACTGACTTTTTGTTGTTGGGTGGAAAATTTGGGATTTTTTTTGAAGATCCACAAAATATGATCAGATATAGTTTTTTCAAAGCCCAAAGAAAATTTTTTAGTGAAAATTCTGATGTGGTCCTCAAATCTCAAGTCGTCATATATGATATTACCCACGAATTTGGTGCTTAATTTATTCTCGATAACACTTTCATTGATAGTACCTAATAGGAAAGTTATGAATAGAACCTCAAAAGGGTATCAATTTAGTTTTGTTGATATTTAAAGATCAGAAAATGATGGCACCAGTCCTTGATAATCCTGATATCTAAAGAAATAACCTTGTGGAGATCTGGGGTATTTTTACTGTGCCATAGTATTGTGGTATCATCTGTGAATTAAGTGAACTTTCTCTATATATTTAACGATGTCAGATCATTTATATACAAAAGAAAGATAATGGGGCCAAGAATAGACCCTTGAGGGACTTCACTGTTTATACTAGCTGCAGTTGATAATGANTCTCCGAAGAACCTCAAGAGGATAGAGTTGATCCTATGGTCTACGTCTTCCCAAGAGTCACGAAGTGCATCTTCCACAAATATGGTGCCTCCGGAACGATTCAAAAGCACGACAGCATGTGCATCCTTCCCTTGAATATCGTCAACGAGAAGACCTACATCTTCATTTGGTTCTGGTTCATGATCCTTGCGACCATGCTGACGGTGCTGATCATCTACAGAATCATTATCATCGCTTGCCCCTCGATGAGACCGAGGATCCTCCATGCCAAGAATAGGAGTATTCCAATCGAAGCCTGCCGGTCTCTTTGTAGTAAAGTGGATCTTGGCGACTGGTGGATTTTGCTCATGTTGGGAACCAATATGGATTCTATTATTTACAGAGAGCTCATTTCCGAACTGGTTAAAAAGATTGAGCCAACTAGCAGTGGTCGTTGAACTTTGTTGATAAGTTAGGTTATTTTACTTTGCCAATTTTTAAACAACATTATTTTCAAGTTTCATACTTCGCCTCGACAAACATGAGTTGAATTTACGTTCCCTCAAAGAGGTTCTTTCGTGAGGTGCATACAATTTAATAAGTGCGATTGTGATATATAGAAATTCTTTGCAATTCCTGAAAATACGCCAAGCTAACTTATAACTGAAAAATGTGTATTATTTTATACATTACCGTGAAATGAATAGTACTGTTGCTTTTCGTTCATATTATAGCTTTGTATGAAAGAGGAAAATCGATTTGTCTCTCTATTTGTTCGCACATTCCAAGAAATCGATAATTTCTACATCATACCAAGATCAAAACTGAACAAACTAATCGAAGAAGTCGCTGCGTTTCAGAAAATAACAACAGTAATAGATTCATCGATGAATACCGGTGAAGTTTGACATCATCTAGTTGAAGATTTATTGTTCGATATTCTTCTAAAAATTATATTGTTTTATTATTCTTTGATCAATTATACCAGTGAGATCAGTGAATTTTTGACTGAACTAGAGCACTGAAAAATGGAAATATTTTTCCTCTTATCTACTTACTGAATTTTCAAAAAACGAATATAAATGAATGCCTTGGATAGACTGTGGAAATTTTTTGAAGAATTTTACATATCGAATTTTTTTGTATACAGATTGTGTGTAATTTTCTAAGAATTAACGGCCATCCAAAAATTATATCAAATACAGCGACTGGATTGTTTAAACATCACATGAGACCAACACCAACCGCAGCAATGAAATTAATTACGGGTCTGATCCCTCTGGACCTGTATGTTAAGGAAGTTGCGTTAATGGCCATGGTACGATTGCGCACGGATGGTGTAAACCTCGAAGTAGGAATGGGTCAATTGCAATTGCTGGACTTACGGCGGGAAGCGCTTACTGCGCAACCTCTGCTGCAGGCAACCAGTGATGCAATTGAACCCACGTTTGTGTTTGATAAACTCTACAAAATACAAATAAAACAGCCCTATTAGCCTTGAACAGACAACATATAACCTCAGGGCTAGTATAGAGTGTCATCAAGATTCAGTCAAAGCCTCGGTAGATAATAACATTATCCTGAGGTGGGTTAAAGAGCATGACAGCAGTAAAAGGTAATCACATTGCCAACTATTCAGCCAAGGAAGCGCCTGGACTGAGAAAATTAGGACCCAAGAGATGGGATGGAATCAAAGGATGCAATCTTGACAGGATCACCTTACACTCACCCTCCCTACTCTACAGATATACATGAAAAACTGAGATGCAGTTTCAACTATATATTCTACGAAATCAATACAAACTTGAAATTAGGTGACTTGAGGTACAAATTGCTTCTGGCCGGTCGCCAGTGGAAAGTTTTTGTACAGCTTCAAGCACTGCTCAGAATCATCAATTCATTGTTGTTTTTGGTCGACCATGAACACGCGAGGTACTCACTTTGAACGGAGCTTTCATGTCCAACCCCTTCTTTTGATATCTTCAGAGCCTCAGTTATCTCAATCAACTTCACCTTGCTGTCATCCAAAATTATTTTGTGGACTTTTTAGATATTTTCACCGGTAACGGCCTCTTTATGGCGTACACTGCGTATACTCATTGCTCATTTCACCTAGTTCAAACTTAGCAAACCACTTCTCAACGGTTGATTTTCCTGGTCCGAATAATATTTATCAAGCAAAGCCTTGGCTACAATAATATTTTTTCCGCCTACAAGTAATGCTTCATCTACACGAAAATCTTTTTAATCCATTTCACTCAAAATGATTTATCTCGTAAACCAATAGTCGGATAGCTGTTAAATTTGTACACGTGTCTTTTGAAGGTTAGGGTTAGCTGATAATCATNTAACGTGACTATCATCTTTTTGCGTTGAATATTTTGAGATATTATACGATTATTATAATTTTCAATAACAATGTACTATGTATAGATGAACAATAATGTACTTTATGAACCATTTTGTCAGAATGAAATAATAATGTTTCCAAAAATATGTATTTTCCAACATTTTCCAACAAAAATTTTCATTAGTCGTGGATAAAGTATAGTATCCTACTCGTATATAATGGCTATTATTCTCTCGGTGATTTAGGCCACTAGCTCATGGCCGTAAACTAAACCTCGTGAATAATAGCTATTATTATACGCTCGTTGAATAATATACTACAATGAGTGAAGCGTTATCTGTCACTTGATGTAAGTTTCTTGAAAGTTTTGGTCACTTACAGTAACGTTTTGAAAACTGATATTCACTCGTCAATTCATATTTCATGTTCACAAAATACACTAAGAGTTTCACTACGGAATAAAAGTTGACAGATTTTCGGCGAAGTTGACCCTGCATCGAGTGTGGACGTCAAATTAACGTCACTCCCATAAACAAAAAACAACATACTTCATTCTCCTCATTGAAAAAGATCCTGTCAAAACCTTGCTAGTCAATTGAGCGACCCAACTCAACTCGCAAATCGTCCAAAATGAATCTAACGGATGTTCATCGTTGGAAAAATTGCAACAAAAATTCGTCTATTCATTTTATTTTTGTCATCGACCGAACCGTTCCTCGTTTGTCTACAACTCGCGCTCCAGCCCATATCCCTATTTATCAAGTTGTAAAAATAAAATTAAGCACATTTTCGAACTAGTGGTAGGTCTAGGTGAGTCGGATAAAGATCTATTATTTTCTCCGTCAATGACTCGTAGTACAACTCAATATTTTGAATTTCTATAGTAATTTGTAATTGTGATGAAATATGATGTACGTTGTGCTGTGTTAAGTGGGGATCTCCAATTATGAAATTATCAGTAGAGGAATAAGGTAAGTTTGAAACTCAATTATTAAAGCTTCGAACTCTTCTGATTCATGAATGAAAAGCACACTTCTGAAGTTTAGTTTGAATACTTGATGTAGATGTTAATTAATTAAATTCTAATTCATTCCTTCTTTTTATTCAATGCCTTTGACAATCAAGCGATTTTATAGAAAACTTCGTTAGAGACAGAAAGAAACTGAAAAAAATTTTTTTGTCAAAATTTTCCTAATAGGCCCCTTGAAAGAAAGGCAGTGTATTTTCTTGATGTGATTTAAGAGACAAGACAGGAGATGTTTCAGGGACACTACATGCAGGTAAAATTGGCTGCTATTCCCAAAGTTTTCAACGTATCACCTGCTCTTTCAGGATGTCAAATTTCAACTTAAGACTCGCAGATAGCTGCTCGATGTGCCATCGCCAATTTATTCGTGAACTGAAGAATATCATAAATATTACATGAATACTACCTATGAATAAGCCAGTACCAGAGGTAGTGAGACGAATCGATATTACCAGGTATTTTTTGATAGAAAATAAAAGTTCAAATGAAGGAATCCTCCGAAATAATGAAGGATGGGGGATGCATCTAATCAGGCACCAGAAACGCTATCAGTGTTATCAAAAATCATGGAGATCACCAGATCACCAATTATTTGGAAGGCTTCAACATCTTAACCGATCATCAATATGGCTTTCAGAAATTAAGATCAACAGGCGACCTTTCGTCGTATATCATCCATATTTGGAATAACGCAAACGAAAAACATGGAGAACCAAAAACTGTTGCCTTTGACCGTTTGTGACATGAGGGGTTGCTGACCAAACTCCGATGCTATGGCTTGTCGGATCACTTCTGTGTATGGCTCTTCAGCTTCCCGGAAGAACGTTCCCTGCAAGTGGCCCTCGATGGATATATCTCGAATACTTTCACCATCAACGCTGGTGTTCCCCAAGAACCCATATTGTCTCCAACCCTCTTTTTATTGTATAACGATTTATTGGAATTGTGCTGATGATAGCACACTTGTCTCGTCATTCCATTTGGATTCCAGAACATCGGCTACGGAGGCACATCTTCACTAGCAGCAAGAGGTTGCATATCTTGATGAGGATCTAGAGTGATTTCTAGTTGGGGTGAAAGTAACCAGGTTCAATTCAATGCCACAAAAACCAAGGCATCGGTTTTCTCCAAAAAGATTAATGACTCCGAACCAGATATAATGATGTCAGGTCAGACAATCCCGTTTTCTGCTTCGATAAGTTTGATGGCGGTTGAAATGGACACCATTATGTCTTGGCAAAATCATGTCGCTGAAATTGCAAAGGCTGTTTCTCAAAAGCTTGGAACACCGTTCAGATTCAGAAAACTGTACACACCTCAGCAACTTTTGATGCTTTGATGCTTTATGAAGCTTCTTTGGAGTATTGTTCTCATGTATAGTGCTCTGTCCCCAAACGTACCCTGAAGTTGCTGATTGGAGACGCGAACATCACGTGCAACTTCAATAGCCTGGAACATTTGAGAAGGGTTGGAGATTTGTCACTATTCTATACTTACTTCCACGGAAAGTGTTCAAGTAACTTGGCACATTTAATTCCACCAAGAGCGGTACATATCAGAAATACGCAACGAACTCTTGCTGCTCATCGTTTTGAGGTTCAACTCAGTACACCTCTAAACGCGCGTCAAGAAAAGTATTGCATCGCTGGTATTTGGGTAAAATGCTTGTTCTGGATGTTATTTTCAAAATGAGTGTTATTTTTCTGTATTGTTGAAATCCAGTAGACAAGTAGTCCCCTACGAATCTCATTCACAGAAATGAAAAAATATTTATTTTTTCATGACAAATGGGACAGCAAAAATAGACATACTTGAAACAAAAAACAGTAAAAGCTTCTGATATGTTACGAACGTCTGTACCTTCAGTGAGAGCATTCGAGAATCGCGTTTCAACACTTCGGTCGATTATTTTTTGAGAAGCCATTAAATGTCAATAAAATGCTAAAATTAAATCGGCTTTGAGGTAATTAACTTAACCATTTCCGATTCATCAAATCAAATGTCGAAGCTTATATTTATAAACAACTCATCGACTAAAAGTGTTATTGCCTGATGGATTGAAGTGAAAAATAGCTTTTCATTATCGTATGACAAAACATTTAGAACACTAGTTTGTCTATATACATCAAATATCTATATAATCATAATAAATAAAGATATAATTGAAAGCAAGAAAAAGTCACGTACAAAGCACCCAGAAAATATGCAAACCGCAGACACGTGTTGGCACGTGTTTCTGGCTCATTAGCTGTCATCAGTACGGTATAGCCATATGCAAGGTTAGGCAACTTGTTTCTGGCTCATTATCTGTCATCAGTACGGTATAGCCATATGCAAGGTTAGGCAACACTTGGTTGTAGAAACAACACAAATGCACGAAGTCGTTCAAAGAAGCCGGTCGTACTTTTTTTTAAAAAAGTTGCATCAACCTCTGGGGTTATTAGCAACGGCCAAATACCGCTGGTTTAATTAGTATATGATATTTAAAATAAATGTATATACGTTGAAAAATGTGTATGTTTTTGAGGAAAGCTATCAATTGTTCATTGTCGCAATTTTCACCAAGTAAGTATTTCATTGTTTGTGGGATATGATGAGTGAGTCTGTCGATGTGATATAGCACGCATTCTGTTAGAATATATTCAACACTCAGGTCTGTTTCACACACTTCACATCTTGGTTTGTCACCACCTGTTGTGAGGTATTCATGTGTTAAGCAGGTATGTTCCAATCGCCACCGTGTCATCATAACTTGGTGACTCCATGAGGGTACTGATGTATTGACTTCTGCTAGCTTAGAGGCGGAATTATACCATTGATGTTGCCAATTGTTGGTAATTTCTTGTTGTAGAAGGTCAATGTGATTTATTTTGGGTTCAGTAGAAGTCAATGGATTAAAGATGTCTGCTTTTGCCACTTGATCTACTCTTTCATTGCCTGGGATGTCCACATGAAATGGAACCCACAAGAAATGGGATCCACATGAATTTGATTACTGCTCGGTTTTGTTTGAGTACATGGAGCTCTTGTTTGATGAAAAGTATAATGAGATTTTGAGTGTTTGATTGATTCATAGCCAAAAGAGCACTCATGGAATCTATTATAATGAGACCTTTCCCATTTTTTTTCAATATTTATGTACTTCAAGGCTTTCCATATAGACGATGAAATTCTGCTTTAATCAATCTTTGGTTCATCTGACTTTTATCATATTGTGAGAGGGTATGGTCAACTATGAGTTTGGGAATCTGTCATGGTAAAAGGGTTGGTATATTTGAGGAACTGAATGTTTTTGGTCTTTGGAGGAGTAAATTAGATGAATACCGGTTTACTCTCTCATAAAGGGGAATATGGCAGTACTTTTTGGTTTCGGTCAAGTTAGAGATATCACTGAAGTCACCACTAGGCAGCTTTAGCTACCTAAGTGATATCCGGGTTCAATATACGATAATAATAATAACAGCCTTCAGTCAAAAATCATTTAGAGGGTTAATTAAGAATATCAAAAAGTAATATAGGTGCTTATAACTACAAAGTAACAATTTGAGGAAATGAAGAGGAAAAATATGGAACAAAATGAGAAAGAAAAAAAGTATACCAGAATTTAAAAATTATCCATGTGGCTTATGAGCAATGTCGGAGGATAGTGGGACGCACATGGGGTCTTTCACCCCGTGTGGTCACCTGGATCTACACTGCACTGATAAGACCTATGTTAATGTATGGAGCCATTGCATGGAGACCGAAAGTTCTACAAGCGACCGGCTTGTTTAAACATCACATGAGAACAATACCAACCGCGGCAATGAAATTAATTACGGGTCTGATCCCTCGATCCCTCTGGACCTGTACGTTAAGGAGGTTGCGTTAATGGCCATGGTACGATTGCGCACGGCTGGTGTAAACCTCGAAGAAGGAATGGGTCAATTGAAGCTAAACCTATGACGGGAAGCGCTTACTGCGCAACCTCTGCTGCAGGCAACCAGTGATGCAATTGAATCCAGGTTTGTGTTTGATAAACCCTACAAAATACAAATAAAACAGAACACAGAGTCAGATGCTAAAAATGCAATATGCATATACAGACGGCTGAAAAATCAAAGAAGGCTCAGGATGTGGAGTGTAGTCCAGATCACTAAGCCTAGGGATAAGGTAGGGGATGGGAAAAAATACCAGCGTGGTTCAAACAGAACTGGATGGTATCTCAATCGCCACAAAAGAAATAATCAGGAAAGGAATTTCTGGCAAAAACATAACAATCTGCACTGACAGCAGACAAGTCCTATTAGCCTTGAACAGACAACGTGTAACCTCAGGGCTAGTACTAGAGTATCACCAAGATTCAGCCAAAGCCTCGGTAGATAATAACATTATCCTGAGGTGGGTTAAAGAGCACGACAGGAGTAAAGGTAATCGCATTGCCAACTATTCAGCCAAGGAAGCGACTGGACTGAGAAAATTAGGACCCAGTGGCACCTACGGCCTGATGATTTCGACAATTGCGGAACATGCCAAATGTTACACCCATGCTCAATCCCTAAAGAGATGGGATGGAATCAAAGGATGCAATCTTGACAGGATCACCTTGGGCGACTCTGGGCAGCTGGCGCCGAAGAAACATCTTGCGATGACCAGGAAAAATCTACGCTCAACAGTAGGATTTCTGACTGGTCACTGTCAATGTGTAAACAGAAAGATGAGACTGTCAGGCATGTCCTATGCAAGTTCCCGGAGTTATCGTCAATAAGAAAGTGTGTATTCGGCAAGTCTTGGCCTACACCTGCCGATATAAAGGAGATGTCTCCCAGTGACCTGTCCATTTTCCTGGAAAGGACAGGATGAAGGATGACCTAGGGGGACAACTCCTCGGGAGGATGTTCAATGGGCCACATGTGGCCTAAGTGCTGTGGGCTTACACTCACCCTCCCTACTCCTCAGATACAGATATCCATGAAAAACTGAGATGCAGTTTCAACTATATATTCACACAAATTTGAAATTAGGTGAATTGAGGTACAAATTGCTTCTGGCCGGTCGCCAGTGGAAAGTTTTTGTACAGCTTCAAGCACTGCTCAGAATCATGGCTTAGCGGCGTCCTCAAGGGATATAGAGGGTAGACATATCTCAATGATTTTGTGGGTGAATTGCAGTGCTATTTGCTTGAGACGACTATGTTGCTTTATTTTATGTAGCGATATATTTGCATTCTTGAAATTCTTTTACTCTCAGACAATAATGAACGAATTATAAGGCCTTTGACCGTGTGTGGCCTGAAAGCTTCCTGAAAGAACGTTCCCTTTAAGTGGTCGTCGTTGGATATGTCTCTAACACTTTCACCATCAACCTCGGTGTTTCCCAGGGATCCATATTGTCTCCAACCCTCTTTTTATTGTATACGAAGTATACGAGGCACTTAGGTCGCTCAAGCCTAAAAAGACCACTGGTCCAGATGACATTCCAGCTTTCATCCTAAAAAATTGTGCACTTGTGCTTGCTCATACTCTTGCTCGGCTACAATACCAAGGATCTGGAAATCATCAAAAGTCTGCCCCATTTTCAAGAAAGGAGATAGACGAGATATTTCAAATTATCGGCCTATCTCTATTATTTGCAACTTTGCAAAGGTTTTTGAGATTCTACTGGAGCGAGTTATATATCGGCATGTTAGTTACAATATAAGTATAAACCAACACGGTTTTATGAAAAATCGTTCAACGGTCACCAATCTTCTGACTGTAACCCAACATATTGCTGAATCTATTGACATTATATAAAAACATCTCGCACAAATGTTCTGGAGAATTCTCCGATCCATACCATATGTAAAGTGACAAATTCTGTTAGCGATAATTTAGATATATTCAGTTGCAAATTGTCAAATATAAAATCCCACTTCCTAAAATGATCGTTTTGTCACCTATAATAAATATAAAATGTGTAGTCTTTATAGTCACTTGTTTGTATTGTTTGTAGTGTTTGTAGATTTTACAGTCTCTTGGTTGTGATGTATTTATTATACTCCGTTATTTCCTGCTCTGTAATTAGGCTATGTCCTGTAGAGTATTGTATTACAAATAAATAAATAAATGAATATCAACGACTTATTGGAAAAACCAAGAATCCAGTATATTGCTTTGCTGACGGCAGCACACTTGTCTCGTCATTCCATTTGGATTCCAGGACATCGGCTACAGAGGCACATCTTCACAGGCTGCAGGAGGTTACATATCTTGATGAGGACCTAAAAGTGATTTCGAATCGGGGTAAAAGTAATCAGATTCAATTCAAAGCCACAATAATTCAGGCATCAGTTTTCTCTGAGAAGATAAATGTCCCCGAGAACCGGATATAACAATGTCAGGTCAGGCAGTTTCACTTTCAGCTTCGATAAGTTTGTTGGGGGTTGAAATGGACATCAATATGTCTTGACACAATCATGGAATTGCAAAGGCTGCTTCTCAAAAGCTTGCAACACTGTTCTGAAACAGAAAATTGTACACACCTTAGCAACCTTTGATGCTTCATAAAGCTCAGATCAGACCTTCTTTGGATTATTAATCTCATATATGGAGCTCCATCTCCAAACATACCCTGAAGTTGCTGGATTCCATCCAGAAAAGATCCATCCGCCTGATTGGAGACGCGAACCTTGGAGACCTTGATTGCCTGGAACATTAAAGAAAGGTTGGAGATTTGTCTCTCTTGTATAGATACTTTCACGGAAAGTGTTCAAGTGACTTGGCACATTTGATTCCACCAAGAGCGGTACTCATCAGAAATACGCGACGGACTGTGCTGATCGTTCTGAGGTTCAACTCAGTACACCTCAAACTCCACTGTTTAAACTCTTTCATCTGTAGAACTGCGTTTATGTGTAATAAACTTTCTGAGAATATTTTTCCAAACAGATTCAATCTCCAACGATTTAAATCAAATGTGAATCACTACTTTCGCACAGGCACCGATCTGGGAGCGCCTTAAGGATTTTTCTGTAGTGCTTGTGTTTTGTCCTTAAAAAAATCTAGTAATTACCACAGAAAATATATGATATTGGATATATTTCCAAGATACAGATGATCGATTTTTTTTTCAGAAAATCCTACTGTCTCAATGGAAACGTGTCAAAAACATAGTTTGTAATGGGTAAGCCCAAGCCACAACGGGTCATTCACAAACCCCACCTTCACCAGAATTTGAGATTCAGAAAATTCCACAAGTACCATCCCGAAAGTAGATCGCACAGAAAAGCCACCCGTAGAGGAAACCGTGACATGGATATACATCGGAATCTTCTCACAGGGATTCACAATCTCACGCAGGCGGTAACAGATTCGACATTTTTTTCAACAACATATTTACAATATTTACCTTTCTTTCCAGACGAATGGCCTCACCATTGATTCTCTTGTATTTAGACTGCACACCAATGCAACTGTACTTTTACTGGTAAGCTTTTCCATTGCAGTAACCACAAGACAATACGTTGGACACCCGATAGATTGTGTACATATAAGGTAAGAATAATAGATTGTGACTGAATGAAAATTAAATTGAATCAACTAAAGGTTCCAAACAGTGCATCATTAAAACAAACTATAATGTAACTGGATCTTGCAATTTTTGAGGGAAAATAATTTTCCCTTTGGATCTTCGGATTCTGAGGAAGCTGCATCGTAACAAAAAAACAACTATTCTGGTGAAAAGCTACATATAGCATGAAAATTTCCGCTTTCAGCATCCTTTAACTATTTGCAAATTAATATTTTCAAAGCAACAAATGATGACCAAGAAAATTTTACTTTTCTTCTCCTTCCCGTTCTTCTTTTCATTTTCCTTTTTTGGCATGATTGCTTTTCTGCGTCTTCTGAAATACTTTCAGTAGTATCTATGTGCTTCTTCATATCGCCTCGACTTTGATATTTTTTTTGTTCGTTCTTTGCACAGTTCCAAAAAAAAATAGTCACTGTAGTGGACGAATTAGTTCACTCTCACTCAGTTTCATTCATGCTACTGTTGCTTTTGGTCTCCTGAGGAAATCTGCAAAATTCTTGCTAATAACTAATCTCTCCTCTTCTTATTAGCAACTACTGGCAGTATAACATAAACCATTCGAAGCGACGACTGATTTCACGTAACATAATTCAATGAATCTCCCAGATATTCGTTCCTGACGCATGTCTCGAAGGGAAAAACATTAAATGGAAAGGGGGCTCTTGCGACACATGTTTTTGAATCTCCTGACAAATGCTTCACAACCCTACAATATAATGTCAATATCTTCAACTACTACAAAATGGCGAAACTGTTAATAATTGCCTGAATACATTGACATTTACCTACATAATATGAGGTAATAAGCTTGAGGTCAGTTCAGAAGATGCTCGAAATGGTTGCCTTGAACTTCTTGACATCACGCCGAATATTTTCGAACACAGTATTGTCAATGTTTACACAAATATTTATTATTCTCTGCCGTATATTAGAGCAAGTCCAGTTTCGTACCCCTTTTGCTTCAAATAGCCCCATAAAAAATGTCCAAAGGTGTCAAATCTTGCCAGCGTGCTGACCATTCTGTAGGACCTCGAAGGCTAATCCAACGACCGAGAAAAGTAGCATCCAAATAGTTTCTTACTTGTCTGGAGTAATGTGGTGGTGCTCCATCTTGTTGGAATACAATATCCATATCGAATTCATTAGGATTCGCTTCGACGGTTTCAGTAATGAGAGGGTCAACAGTAGTTTCCTGCATATTCAAATACATTTTCCCTGTTAAATTTTGATCAATAAATAGAAGTCCTACAATATGGTTTCCCAATATTCCTGCCCAAACATTAATTTTTTCTGGATATTGGGTATGTGTTTCCCGGAAAACGTGAGGATTGGTGTCACTCCAATAACGGCAATTTTGTCTGTGAACATTGCCGTTTGAAAAATATGTACATTCATCACTAAAACAAATATTGTGGAGATAGGTAATATGCCTTGCAATGGTTTCCGTCATGATTTCGCAGAATTCTGTTCTTCGATCAGTTGAGTGGTGTACCATTTTAATTTTGTATGGATGATACCTATTCCTCTTCGAAAGTCTCCACACAGTAGAAGGAGAATCCAAACATTCGCGACGGAATAAGCAGACTGTTCAGGATTTACTACCATCGGAATACGTTCATTGAAAATCCTTCCGGTCTCGTGAAAGTTACGCTTCGCACAGTAAATAAAAATCGCTTCAATTTTTTCTTCTAATGGACGAGAATTGACCATTTTAGAGATTGTTGACGTGGTACCTTTCTACTAGTAAAACCAAAAACTAAATGAGAATATTCTAACTGAACAACGATGTTCATTGTCGTACTGACATTTTATGTCGTTTTTATAAACGGGTTGTTGGAATTATATCGGGTTGTTGGAATTGCCATATGGCAAATAGAAAGGAATATCTCTAGAAATATCGATATTAATGTGTTTGTCTTCAGTTGTATCAAGATGGAGTAGTAGAAAGCCAAAAACTTTCTTTCCCAAATATTTTTATGATATTGATATGACGCTGTTCACTATACTCAAAATTTCCATAACATTTTAATGTACATTCCGAAACTTTGATCTGAAAAACACGCAGCACCTGGAACAATCTTCTTTTCCTTTAATCAGATATACTGAGGAAATTGAGAGTTTCCACCAATAGGCAGTGAATCGTGACTCATTCTGCAGTATCAATAATAAAGTGTTTTCTCCAAAACCGATGAAATGGTTTTGTTAGTAGGCCACCAGTTATTCAGATTGCTAAAAATAAGCCGGTGTAAATTGAATAAGAAATAGACTAAACACTTTGTAGAGAGCGAAACCGATTTTATAATGCCAACAGATGGTAATATGTTTTCTATTGAATGTCAGATGTCGCTCTGATGCATAATTCAGGAACGAAAAATATCTAAAAGACCAACAAAAAAAATCAAACTAATTTCAGAAGTTTTGCTTTCAAAAAGTTTGACCATTTTTAATATTATATGGAATGTATGGCAATTTATGTGCCTGACCCACTGTTACAACATTTTAACATTTTTAAAACTTAGCACATGGCTTAAACAATATTTATGAGACACAAAACGAATGCATCTACAATCAAATGTGGCAAAATATAATTTCGCCGAATCCTCTAAACATAAAAAAATTATTTAATATAAAAACTATGTTATAAATAGCTTCAACTGTATAAAAATTGTTGCAAATAATTTTTTTGATAGTTGTTTCGAAACTTCTGGAATGAAATGATTTTACAGAGAGATGAAAATTATTGTATGAATTTGTATTCAATTAATTTTTTGTAAAATTGCTACCTTATATCAGGGAAGGTACAAAAATCTGACAGATCTTTTATAATAATCAAAACTTCGCGAAAAATACATGGAAATAAATTATGATTTTCATGAAAAACGCGGTAAATTGTTCGAGAAAATATCAAAACACGATTAAAAAAATTATCGTAGACATGAACGCGAACGTAGGTAAAGAGGAAAAATATAAGAATGTAACAGCAGGTAAACGTCTACATAAAGAAAGTAATGAAAAAAAACTAATACAATTTGCAATTTGTAATGGATTTTGACTTGATTTTCAATATAATATGATTTGAAAATAATAAGTACCCAATTTGACCACAAAGATCGCGGATTCCGAGTGGGAAAAGGGAAAATCGAATAGATCATTGAAAAAATAACATAATAGATATGTAACCGATTGTAAGAACTACGTCAGATATGTCTACAAGATGAAACAGTAGCAGAAAAGTTGGAAGAAAAAATAAATGAAAGATTGGAAAGAACAACAACATAGAAGAAAAGTGGTCGCGAATTCAAACAGCGACAAACTTAAGCATTGAAGAAACAGAAATTAGGAGGAGAGAAGATTGGTCTGATGATGATTGCAAACGAGAACCAATACAGAGGAAAATTACTGAAATAGAAAAAACGAATGAAAATATAGAGGGATATAAAATAACCTAAAAGAAAAGAGGCGAAACGATTATGAGATAAATAAAGTAGAAAAGTACCAAAAAACAGCTCAAAATAATTGAAGAAAACTACTTCAAAAAAGAATGGAGCAATAAGGATGAATATACGGGGAGAGATAAATAGGTAATAGACTTTTGAAAGATAGCAAAGCAGTGGGATCGTTGAACACGCTGCTGAAGGCAGAAAATATGTCAAGGTCTGCCTAAATACGAGCATATGAAACAATAAACAATGATACAATACGCATATGAAACTTAGACTCTGAATCAGATGGAAGAAAGAAAGATGACTATCCTGATAAGGAACATTTTTAGAGACATAAAAGAGGCAGATGGGGAATGGAGAAGACGAATGATTCTGCAACCGTGTTAGGAATCACACGTTAAAAGGTAAGACCTCGTTTCTCACAAGTTTCTCAACTTCTGAGAGTTGTCGTTCGTATGGGGGCAGCAGCTGATTAACGGAAAAACAGATTTTAAACAGAAACAGAATGAATCAGCAGCTGATCGAAATTTTTGGAAGATCTAACTGGGACATAATCTACGAATTTCAAAGAAAATTAATCCACTAAGAGTATTGGAAGAAGGGAAACAACGGAACAAAAAGAAGTGATCTTGAAAGAAATGGTTGAATGCTGTTCACGGTGATAAAGGGTCTTTTATTGGGCGCTTCCTATCTTTGAATTTGAGTAAAACATATTGTGTGTGAGATATTTTCAAAACTTTTCATTCGTTTGAAAGATCTATCAATGCCATTATGTGCGGAATAAAATATCGTTCAAATGTCTTCCACAGCTTCTTTGGATGGCTAACCCATGCCATCAGGCTAACCCATGCCATCAGGCTAACCCATGCCATCAGGCTAAATTTCACTGATGGCATGGGTTATGTTTGCTATGAGGACCGCTGTGGTTTCAAGCTTATTCGCTTTCACCTGCGACTTGGAAATACCACACAAGAACAAGTCTAACGGAGTCAAATCACACGATCTCGATAGCCAGTGTGGCACGTAGCGCCACCTTGTTGAAACCACATGTCGTTGGTGTCCAGGCTATGCAATTCAGGCCGAAAGAAGTTGGTTGTCATCGACCTATAGTATTCGCCGTTGACAGTGATGGCCTGGCCAACGTCATTCTGAAAGAAATATGGACCGATGACGCTTCCAGTCGAAATTCCACACCAAATAGTGACTTTTTTGGGATGCATTGAACGCTTTTGGATCTCATGTGGATTGGTATCGTCTTAAATTTGACAATTTTGTTTGTTCACGTACCCATTTCTCTAGAAATGAGTCTCATCGTTGAAGATGATTTTTCTATGAAAATTAGGGTCAGTTGACAACTGTTTCAGAGCCCATTGTGTATGGTCGTCGATGTATATGGTCGTTTACCTGCAGTTCCTGGGTCAGTTGGATTTTGTACAGGTACAGGTTCCGACGCAAAATTCGCCAAGTTGTGGCCTGCAAACGGTCGATTTTTTGAGAACGACGTGAAATCGACTGCCTCG